TTGCCACTCTAGGGACCCACAAAATTATTCATGCCACTGCATTCTGGGCCAATTGTAGCTTCCAAATATTTTTCAAGGGTAGCTCACATGTAGAGCTCATTGCACTAATCCAGATGAGAGATGACCAGGGCATGACTGACTGAGCACAGGGCCTTAAAATCCAGAAAAGGGCGCAACTGGTGCACATATGAATATTGTACAAATATATCAACTGGATCTGTTTTGCTGCAGCCTTAGTATCACATAATTTATTGCAGTGTTCCTGAAGTAAATGGATGTAGTAAAGATTTCAACACTATAGAAAAAATTTAAAAATAATCTCAACAAATGACTTCTGATTCCTCAGTTGAACAGACTGTAGTGCCCACTGATTTTACTTGGAGCCTGCCAGGCTTCTTGCATCACCTATTATTTTTATTGATATCCTTATAATGATAAAAAAAAAAATGGAAAGCTGCCATGCTGAATACAAAACACCAACCTTACATATCAAATGTTTCTGGGTTTTACATAGACCATAGAGGCATTCTTATATAAAATAGGTGGGTGGGCTGCAGGTCACAAAAACATAAATGTAGCTGCTAAGAGAGGTATCTGAGATGGTAGACCAACCACTAGACCAAACTAGCACTCTTGTTAATTTCAGATATGTAATCTGAATAATCAACCATGTTCTCATATAATTTATTTGATAAAGTCTTGGCACTTAGTTTCATGTGTGTTTTAACAATAACTTTTTAAAATTTGAAGTGATTTGCATATTTATCTCCAGGGTAAAATTTTGTAGAAGGATACAGTGAGTGTTCTTTTTTATACATTCTTTTATCCATTACTCATTTTTATACACAAACACACATACATATGCATACATACATAAGATGAGTGGCCTCAGGCTAATTTCCTTTCCTGTTGCTTACTTTTGGGAATTTAACATCTTGAAAAGTCTGTATTCATATATGCTATCTAATGCTGACAAATGGACTTTTAGCCTCTTTAGCAATAACATTGAACTAGGGTTTTCTAACCAGGAAGAAACAAACGTGCTAAATCAACCTAGATCTAAATCACGCCCATTCTTTATAGCCAAAGCTTCTCTATTATTCCATTGGGGAGGTTAAGAATAAAAACAAGATGTTTTTTAGCAATTGATCTTGTTATGGGTAGTTACTGATGCTTCCTATGTTAGAGACTTAGAGCGTTTCCCTTTAATCACTTTGATTACTCTAGTTCTTGAGAGGTGGGTAGAGGAGACATTTTATATAAAAAAGGGCATTGGAATTGAAATTATTCCTCTTAGAGTTAAATCTGTTGATAAAATAAAAAGTCTTATTTGGAATAAAAAATATATTGTTGACATCTAGAATAGGGGTCCCCAATGCCTGTTCCGTGGTGTGCCAGAAACCAGGCCATGCAAACAAGTGAAGTCCACAGCCTCTCCAGTCGGTGGAAGCCCTCTCCATGAAACCGGCCCCTGGTGCCCAAGAAGTTGGGGGCCACTGGTCTAGAACTTGAGATGTTTCCTTTTTCAATTGTTCTGAATTTATTAAAATCTTACAAAATCTAAAATACATGTTTGACTACTCTTAGCTCTAGTTTCCCTTGAAATCTGAAGAAGATTACACAATCATTTATTTGTTCTTTCCCTCATAGACTAAGGTTAATATCAGGTCAAGTTGATCCTCTTGTACTTTCCTTCATCTAAAAAAGAAAGAACAATAGAAAAGTTACTTATTTAGTTACAGGATTTTTACATGCCACAAAAAATGCAACTCTGGGTGGTTTATAGCAATAAAAACAGACATAAGAATAACTTATAAGAATAACCAAAAAAGCCTCAACAATAGAACAATTGCAGTATCCCATCATCACACCTCACAGGGTAAGCTTATCAGTATCCTGGCCCCAACACCCAAAGTAACATTCACAGCCTTCTTAAAGTAACGGCGTTGGGACTAGTTAGAATAGTTAGGAAAACAAGTTAGGGATTTCCTGGAGAATCATAGTTGGCAGAGTGTCTTCTAATTGTAGTAAAAAAAAAAAGTATGTTTCATGCCTCTAAAAGAAGTGTATTTTGCTTTTTCAAAACACTCCATATATTTTCTTCCATTAGGCTGATTAGAGTAGATCTCAACAATGGTATTTTTATTCGCTTGCTACTTATTTTATCCCAGATGTTCTTTGCAATATTGCTACATTGATTTACTTGGATTCTTGAGTGGTGCTAGACAATTTAATATTAGTGCAACAGCTCTCTTCCTATTGTTTCTGTATTTTTTGAACAAATTATAACCTTCAGTTCCTATATTCCAGTTCTGAAGAGTCATCCCAGCAAGTCTGTTTTATGCTGTTTAAGTCATATTGCCCTTATGAACATTTTTCAGTCATGAAGGAGATGTAACATTTTCAAGGGCAATCTTAAGATTAACTAGAGTCGTTACAAATGTTCTGAGAAAAATGGATAATATTTTGCTTACCGAGCCATAAGACATAACTTTAATGATTATGTGTGTTTAGATGCAGATCTGTTGAATCATGCCCTGGCTAATACATAAGAGACTTCAGGTTTGTAACGTCACAGATATCAAAATTCCCTATGGCCATTGTTTGATATGCTGAAAGAAAACAAGTTATAATGAGCTCACAAGGGATGATTGTGAGATGAGAATAGTATGCTTTTTTAGGCTTGTATGCTTTTCTCTGAAGAACATGAGTTCTGGATATGATTTTGGTGTTCTTACTGGATAACATGTTGTGCTCTCCCTCTCTGTCAATGTGTGTTTTATACTGTTAGGGCAAAATTGTTTAAACAATAATTTGGTAACTTTTAAATGTAAATCAATTAAAAAAACAGATCTTTGCTTATTTGAAAATAAGACCCACCAGGAGTTTATGCTTCAGCTGATTAGGCATAAATAAGTCTTCTTCATTTTAAACTTAAGTTCTAGAGACCTAATGGATAAGTCTGCTTTTTCTTGGCATTAATATGAAAATGGTTTCCCATTATCTTCTTACTGGGATGACTTTGATTTACCACATAGCTCTTGCATTTTAAGAATAAATTCTTCACCTTGACAGAGAATAATAACAGTGCCACCTTCTGGATATCTCTTTATTACAGAAATGAACTTGATGCAGTAATTGACAACTTTCGGCTCTAGTAACCAGCTAGAAGAATAAATATTAAATATGCTTACTGCTTACATTTTAAATGAATGTTATGCTACAGTAAGCATTCTTCCATTTAATTTATTTCAATAAATTTAAATAATTATTTTGCACAGTAGAATTTCTAGTGCTGGTATGATGATCTGCTAAGTTGACATACACAGGTTTGGTTATGCAATATTGAAAGCCTCCGTTCCTTACTCTCCTCCCTATGCTTCAATAAATGTACCTATTGATAAACAAAATAATGAATGGCTTTTGTAATCTCTTGGCATTAGTTACAGGATAGTTGCAATCCTTTTTGGGAAATAAACATAACTTAATTCTGTGAGATGTGTTTTTGACTTAATATGCTTTGTACTATTTTACATTGTGATCTTATATTTTAAGTATGTCTAAAAATAGGTTTGTGACCTAGAACACTTTGTGGTCTCTTAGAATTAAGTGAATTATTATTCATGTAATGCTGTTTAGTACTCTGCAATTAAGCACCAAATTGTTTTTAGATGGATAAATTGAAAGATAAAATCAGTAGCTTAATTTGTGTAAAGCCCCTTATATTTACTGCTAAGAGACATTATCTTCTGTTTCTTCAAAGATAATATATTGAATCATACAATGGGTCTTTGAATTTTTAACTGCACGGTACTACTTAAAATTTTAAATATTATTTGCTTGCATGTAGATAAATTCTTGCTAGGTTAAACTTAAAATGGTCTTTTATGCTTTTTGTACATCTTTGTTAGTGGTAAAAATATTTGTGAAACTACATGAAAGTTTTCAGAAGTCATAAAAATGAGGAAATCTGTATTTTTTAAAAATACGATCTTGATGCATAACTTTCCCCCCAGTTTTTTCCAAGGCTGCTTTCATAGAGTATCTTTGGAAAGGTTGAGGTTGTTTTTCAACTTACTTTTGAATTTAAAGTTGATAGCTTGACTCAAGAGTTTTTAGCAAGAATAACAAAATAAGGGAGTTGGGAGGGACTTTGAGGTCTTCCAGTCTCACCCCCAGCCCAAGCAGGAGATCCTATACTATTCCGGACAAATAGCTGCCCAGTCTCTTCTTAAAAATCTCCAGTGATGGAGCTACCCATGACTTCTGTTCCACTGATTAATTGCTCTCATGCTCAGGAAATTTCTATAGATTGGATCTCTCTTTGATAAGTTTCCATCAATTTCTTCTTGCCCTGGGCTTTTTTCTCCCCTGATGTCCCCTTTGAAAAATCAAGGAATTAAAGGGAAACTATTTTTTACACATTATTTTTGGTTCTTTGTAAGAGTTGCTTTAGATAGACTATATATATATTCATTAATTTTATTTTAAATAGTATGTGAATGTCTATGTGCATGTATTAGATGACAAAGGGAAAAAATTAAATGGCAATTCTAGGCTACAATGCTTTTTAGCTCGTTATCTGTATTGCGATATAGAGAAGAAAAAAAATAGAAAAGGGTATCTCCTTTTGCCCTGTGCCTTTGTGTGATAAGTAACTTGGCTAAAAGCAAATAGGAACACTGAGAGAAGTGTGAGTAATGCTTTTCCTGCCCTCTTTCTGCTGACGTTCTCCCTGCTTTGCAAGGGACACACCTAGTAGCTCTCTGCTAATGCTCATTGGCTAATATTATGTGGGGCGTGGTATGCAGACTTTTGCATGACCTCACTCCTGTTTGTCTCAGTGCTCAGATCCGGATGTCTGTTTTCAGTTTCAGCTTTTGTGCCGAGAGTTTCACTTCTGCTTCTTTCTGGATGCAACGAAAGAATCTTTAGCTTTGATGTTCCAGACAAAATAGAATAAAGACACGGGGATTTTTCTTTTTCTTTTTCCTTTCTAGAGACTTACTAACCTGGAATAAATACTTTCTGGAGGAACAGTTCTGTGTGAGTTGCTTTCACCACCGTCCCATTGGTCTGTCTAATGTCCTACAAGGATGAGTCCGGCATTTGGAGCTATGGAAGTGGAGCATTATTCCAAAGGCGTCCTCCTGGAGCCTTTTGTTCATCAGGTTGGGGGTCACTCCTGTGTCCTCCGGTTTAATGACAAGACCATCTGTAAGCCCCTTATTCAGAGAGAACATCAGTTCTATGAGACTCTTCCTGCTGAAATGCATAAATTCACTCCTCAGTATGAAGGTATGTTGCCACCTTTAGAAGGGGGCTGGGTTTAATCCATTTAGTAAAGTCCAATGTTCTTTTTGTCCTTAAAATCTCTTTTGCATAAGAGATTTTAGGGGATTTCTTTTCATATATTTTGATGTTGTCTGAGCCAGGCTGTGGAAATGCAGGGTGGAGATGCTTGCCAGTGGGTCTTTGGGCTGACTAACAGCATTAGAGTAGAACAACACTGCTGGTGATAGCCTGTAAATCGCCCTTAGGCACAGGTAGGTAAGTATATGGATAACAGCTTGTAAGTGTTTTCAGTAACAATATTTTTCTTTCTGATTCTTAAACCATATGTTTTTTAAAAAACTGATATTAAATAAACTGCATAAGGCATGCTGCCTACTGGAAGCTTAACAAGGATTTTCAGATGATCTCTACTGCTTACATTATGATCATGCTATATAAACAAGTTGTCATAGTAATGAAAATTAAAAATTACTGTTAAACATAATCAGCTTGTTTTTAACCTTAAAGAAATGGAAAAAAACACTGTGGCCAATAGGTAGGCAAAAGGTGAAGTACTGTTGTTGAGGTTGTAAAAGATGATGGTATGTGGAAGTGGATATTCCAGTTCTTGTTACCATTGTGTTAGTTGACCAAGACATTCAGTTTTTCATCCTGCAGTAATTTAATTAACTTGAATTTGAAATTCTGAAGTTTTGATACTGTATTCTATTTCTTCATTTAATCAACCACCTTTTTCCCAATTGTTCAATATTATTTGGACCAAAGACTAAGATGAAATGCTTTTTAGCTGTGTTTCTGTAATGGTATTCATACTTACTGAACATTTGAATGTTTCTGATTATGAACTTTCAGAATTAATAGATGAATGTGTGTTTTATGATATTGACTAAATGTAATAAATTGTACTAGCAGATGTGGTTTTTCTCTTGTGGAGATGTATGGGAGGGATTAAGGGGGGGGGGGAGCTTTATTTGGTCCGTTTCTGTTGTTTTTTCCAGGATAAAGCCAAAGGCCATTTTCTAGCTGGCTTCCCCCCTTTCCTGTAGCTCTTTCTCGTATGGGCAGCAGGACTGTCAGTCAGAGCTTCTGCACTCCCTACCCTTGCTCCTGTAGGCCCCACAGCTGCCTGCCCTGCTCAGAAGTACCAGCCTCTCGCCACGAACTCTAGTGATGAGCGGCAAGAATGTGCAGATTGATTGATTTCAGGATAAAGAGAGAGAACTGAGAAAAAAAAATATCCCACTCAGCCAGTTGTTACAACTTCTGCCGTAACTTTCCTATATGGTATGGGGCTGCATTCCTGTCAGAACTGTCCTCTCAAAACATAACAGTGCTCTAGAGACTTTGAGATGAGGAGACAAAAATGCTTTCAAGGTTCACCATGTTTTGATGTATCTTGAGTTAAATTTGTTTTGTACTTCATTTTGTTATTTCATTTATGAGATGCTACATAATTGAAACCAATAAAATATATTCCCCAGAGGAAAAATAAATCATTGTAAATTAAACGTGGTGATTCTGAGTGGAAGCCTTTGAATTAGTTGTCTGTTGTAATGTGTGATGTTGTTCTTGTTTTGCTCTACTCTTGCAAGCGTTTCCTTTTCTCTGGAATCTATTAAGAATATTCCCAAAAGCCTCTGTTTTGGATGAATGCTTTTAGATTTGCTATGGAGCAAAACTTAAAGCTTTTGCTGTTTCTTTGCAGGGCATATCCCCCTGCAAGATGTAAATATGCAATGTTTTACATCTCTCCTAGAGTCAGATAAGCCAGATATTTTAAACATAATAAAAATTTTCAATAATTGAAAATGTCTCCTGTTATTATTTGAGTCTTACTGTGCTCACAAGAAAGAGAAGAACCTCCTGTATCATCAATGTGTTGTCTTCATGATAAATTGTCTTCTCTGTGAGGTGTCACTTTGTCTAGATGTTTTGATATTTGTTAGGTTGACAGATGAGTTTTGGCCTGTGGCAAGATAAAAAACTAAGGATTTGGGGTAAGAGAAAAACCAAAGTTGCTATATTCTTAGTGTAAAATTATGTTGTGTTGTGATGTTTTTATTTTTACTTCTCATGTTTCATGTTACGTCTCATGTTTCTTCTTAAAGGAGTGGTATCTGTAAGCTTTGAAGAGGATGAAGATGGAAACTTGTGCCTAATAGCCTATCCATTAAATGGAGATCATGATAACTTGGAAAGTATAGATAATTCTGACTGTGAACCCAAAAATAAATTGCTGCGGTGGAGTAATAAAAAGACTGTTTTGCTAGAAAATGAAAAGTTAACTAAAGAATGGGTCAGGCAGCATAGAAAAGAAGAAAAAATGAAAAGGTAATTGACAGAATGTTCTACTTCCTCATTGTTGAAAATATATATTTAAAACTTGATTATAAAGGACATGCAAGATTCACCTGCATTTAATTTGGAACATAAACCTATGTTTTATATCTATGAATTTTGTGCAGGACCAGAGCATACTAAATACTTACTTGGAATAAGCCCATTGAAACTAGTGGAATTTTATGACGATTTATGTTATAAAATATGCCTTATAATTTCTGAAGTAACAAAATGCTCTAACTATTTTTGCAGTATCAGATTACTTATATGGAGTTAAATTTGTCAGTTCTACCACATCAATCTGATGCTCAGAAAAGAGCATATTCTCACTTAAAAGCTATTATATATATAT